ATACGGCGAGTATATAACAAACTCTGTATTTTGAGTGGAAATGTTAGGGGGTCGTCTTATACGCCCAGTCGTCTTATACGCCAGCAAATACGGTAGTAATAATACTAGACTTCAATATTTTTGTCTTCTGAAAAGCCAATTTTCATTTGAATTATGTTGAACAATTGAGCATCTTGCGCAATTTTAAAACCTGTGCATTAGTCCTTTGTCTTCTGTCACCATGGCATTTGAAACTATTATAACTGATTCAAGTAAGAAAATAAAGGATCCTAATTTCTGAAAGGTGTTTGTGTAATGGCAGGTGTGACTAATTTTTATTTACAGTTCTAAAAATATTCATGTCTTAATCTTCTGCTAAAAAAATTTCTTGAGACCTTATTTTGAAATGATTTTATCAGTGATAAGTTACTAAATGAGACATCTTTGGTTTGTTATAGGTATAGCTGAAATGAAATAAGGAATTCTTTTGCTAAAGTAAATTGCATGCTGCTACTATTACTATAGTATATTTAAAAGTGCAAAACCACATAGAGAACAGTATAAAAACTTTGAGAGCTTAAACTTACATAGAGGCTACAGAAAAATATTATTAACTTCTTACTCAAATAAAGAAACAAAAATTGAGATTTTTTTTTTTCTTAAAACTTTTTAAAGGGGAGAGTACACTAAACTGCTTGCTTATACAAAATGTGCATTGTAATCAATGTATCTTTTGTTTAGCATGAGAAAGGACAAGGTGTAATAGAAGAGAATGAAGTTTATAGTAATACTCTGGCTGGCGTCTGGGTAACAACTGGCAGCACTCCAGTACTCAGAAGAAACAGGATACACAGTGGCAAGCAGGTAAGATTTTCTTGGACTCTTGTACGGAAAATAATTGTTTTGTAAACACTTTATTGTCATTTAAAAAAAATTTTTTTAAATTTTAGGTTGGTGTTTATTTTTATGACAATGGACATGGAGTGCTAGAGGACAATGATATCTATAATCATATGTATTCAGGGGTTCAGATAAGGTAAATGTTTTCACATTTGGCATTCTTTGGGGAATATATGGAGTATATAGAAGAAATTTCCTTATTATTTAATGCTCAATCTTTATTCTTTCTTTTGTATATGTATTTCCTCTACCTTACCTTAAACTGTCAGACTAACTTTTCTTGGACTAGGTAAGGACAACAGTCTATGTACTCCATCATACTTGGAGAGGGGAAACCTGTATAAAAATACTTGTGAGCTATACCTGGCATGTCATAGGCACTCAGTAAATGGGAGCTTCTGTTTTTATGCTATTTCTATAAAATTAATAGTTTTTCACACCCATCTTTGCTATATTTTAACAGTCTTTGGAACTAGAGTAGTCCTAATTGTATAATTCAAACCTTAATTTTACATATGAGGGGTGTATATTTAATAGCCATTTACTTACCCCCTCAGTTTAGTTTACATGTTAGGAGATTCTATAGTAATAACATAATGTATAGCTAAGTGTGTTCTGTGGGAAATAGAATTAAGCAAAATGAAACCAGTTTCTTTATTGACAGACTCTCAGAGCATTTTGAATGACTCCATTGTAATTTTTACTATGGTTAATGTGGATTTTTCTAGTTACCTCATCTAACATGGGATGTGGGAGTAGAAACAATTGAAATGGCATTATTTTCTATTCTATCCATAGGACTGGAAGTAATCCCAAAATTAGGCGCAACAAAATCTGGGGAGGACAGAATGGTGGAATTCTAGTTTATAATTCTGGTATGTTCAATCAATCTCTCATCTTTTTCTCAGTGCTAGTAGTTTTTAGAAATACACTTTCTAAATAATACAACCTAAATTTTTGCATTTATAGGTCTAGGCTGTATAGAAGATAATGAAATATTTGACAATGCAATGGCTGGAGTCTGGATTAAGACAGATAGTAATCCTACACTAAGAAGAAATAAAATCCATGATGGAAGAGATGGTGGCATCTGTATATTTAATGGGGGTCGAGGTATTGTTGTTAATTTTGCATTAGTAAAAAACCCAATTTTCCATTATTATTCTTCCATATCTTTAACAATCGATCTTGCCAATTAACATGTTATGAGTGAATCTCAAATCTTTTTCTTTATCAAGTCTTGATATGATTTAGGAGATTACTCTCCAGAATTAAAGGAAAGAAAAATGTTTACAGAATTTTTCTTTTCCTTTTGTAGGCACCTTGAGTGTGCCAGTTGTAAGGCTTTTTTAAGGTAGCAGAATTTGTTTACATCCTCTCTCTGAACTTTATTATTCAGAATAGTGATATAATAAAACTTCAAAGTCAAGTTATAGAACTAGGTGTGAGAAATTGGTTTGTAAATATATAATGTCTGTAGTAAATAAGAATTGCTTTGTACCTGTTTACAACTGTGTTTGTTGGAGAATGGAGTTAATGAAGCCAAGGTGTACTCGGTTTGGTATCCATAGAAGTCAACTCACTTTGCATTGAGGCAAAAGTCCCATAGTCCCTGCCCTTTGCAAATTCATATTCATGAAGAGAGACTGGGAGAGAATGTCTAACGGAAAATTCATCACCATTCATGAAATGTCAGTAACCCAATATTGTACTTGTGTGGAAGGATAGCTGGTTATTACTCTAAATACCAAGATATAATCAACAAAATTTACTATTGCAACAAAGTAACACGATTCTATTAATGACACAGACTCTCCAGGAGTTTATAATGTAGTAATTCAGTAAAGTAACATCTCTGACAGGAGTCTTTACAAGATATGAGGAAACACAGTACAGAATGGTGGTTTTATTTGTAAGATGTTGAGAAAAGATTATCATAGAGTAAAATCAGTTTTCAGCTGTGTCTTCAAAAATGAGTATTCACTGGTAAATGGGGTTTGAGGGCAGGAAGCAGGCTATTCCAGGTGTAGAAAGCATATTTATTTCAGTCTTTGGTTTGCTATTACTTGAACACCTCTGTACCAACCACTGTGATATAGATCCTAAATATATAACAGTGAATAAAACAGTACTTAATCCAGAAAGTTTGCAGTCTAATGGAGTGGCACATTGTAAACAAAAGTCTAAATGAAACTGAAAGTGATGATTTAGTAAGGTAACAGGTATACTGAAAGTTGAGGCTGGAGAGGGGCAGAGCCCAAATCATAAGAGGCTTTGTATATGTAACATGGAGTTTGGACTAGATATTAGCAGTAGCACTTGAGGTTAGTGGACGGACATCTGCAAGATTAGAGGTAGGGACTTAGAATAGTCTTTTCCAGGGGAAAAGGAATTTAGAGGTTAATACTGGAAAATAACCAGATGGGTCAAGTATCTACAAAAATAAAAACGTTTCACATCTTTAGGGAGCAAAGAAACACTAGTACCCAACTAGCTACAATTCACTGTATATAAGTAGGTTTTTATAAGAGTAATATTAACTCATACTTAGTGCTATATACTTCTACATGTGTTAACTCATTTCATCCTCATAACCTGTATGGTGATAATACCCATTTTACAGATGAGACAGATGAAAAGGTAAGTAATTTCCCACTCAGAGCTAGTAAAGTGATGGAGTTAGTAGTTGAAGGCCTGAAGTCTGATTTCTCAGCTGACTCTTAATAATTGTTAAACTGCCAGAAGAGAGAATAATAAATTTGATGGAAGGAAACTGAAAACCTCCCAGAGGAAATAACATTAGGAAGAAAGTGCAGGGCATTATCAAGAAGAGGAAATACTATAAAGACCTTAGGGATAAAAAATATTCAGAGCATAGGTAATGTAGGGAGACGAAGTAGTTTGGGGGAATATTTTGAAATGACAATTTAAAACTTTATTCTGAAAGCTTTTTCAGCAGAGAAGGGACATGATAAAAGAGTTGTAGGAAACTGGGAAAAATACAGCAGCAAAAGAGACTGTAGTGAAGGAAATTGATCAAGGAATAATTAATTGAGGATACAAAGGTTCTAAAGATTTCAAAATTTTAATTCAACAGTATTCATTGAGAATTAACTATGTACCAGCACTGGGGATGCAATGGTGACTAAACTATAGACGTGGTCCCTGAAACCATGGAACTTGTAGTTTATTGGTTAGAATGGTTACCTGCAATTTAGCCATTTTTGGTTAAATCCTAAATACCTATGAATTACTAATGAACTTCGGCTAAAAAATTAATCCTGTGAATTTTACAATGCAGTTAATAAGAAACTAAAATAAAACCTAAATACCACCAAAAAGGCTAGTAAAATCTGTTATATACATTAATCTGAGGAAATATTTTATTATAGGTCTCCTTGAAGAAAATGATATTTTCAGGAATGCTCAAGCAGGTGTTCTCATCAGCACTAATAGTCATCCAGTCTTAAGGAAAAACAGAATATTTGATGGATTTGCTGCAGGTTTGTATTTCCTTTTGTTACCTGTAGCTTGTTTTCTGTGCATTAAAGTGGTTGGTTTTTAGTATATTCACTTTTGCTTAATAACTAACGGTGTGCCAGGTGTGTGTTAAAAGTGTCTGAATGCCTATTAACAATCACTTATTAGGGCACCTAATCCAAGTTCTGGATTCTTCCACTCTCTAGAAAAACTTACAAGAAATATTGTTCTTGTTGTTCAGTAGTAATTATGAAACATTAATTGGGATAGAATAAATGCAGGCTTTGTACTACCATTAGTAATAGAGATAAATTCAACCCCTCTGGCCTCACAAATACATTTAAGATCTTGGTAAGTAAAATCCAAGTATCATGCATATATAGTTCAACTTTTTGCTAGTGAAGACACTTAATATTCCAAATAACTCACTAGCCCCTTTTCTCTTCAGTATGTAAACTAGCTGCTACCTAAACATACTTCTAGGTACTATCTTCTTTTTTTGCAAAGAAATTTTAAAGTGTTATTAAGTTATGAACCATTTGTATCATTCCTTCAGCAAACATAGTGAAACTATTAATAGTAGAAAGGGAGTTATTGTCAGTGATTCAAATAAACATTTGTATTTTATTCCGTGGATGTTGAGTTAATATACATTTTATATAAAAGAACTAGTTTACTACATTTGCTATATTTCAGGTTTAAGAAACTATATAAAGTTGATGCATCTGCTGTTTAAATTTTACTTCAGGTATTGAAATTACAAATCATGCAACTGCAACACTAGAAGGCAATCAGATTTTTAACAACCGGTTTGGAGGCTTATTTTTAGCATCTGGTGTTAATGTGACAATGAAAGGTATGTTGGAGTCTATATTCTGCCTATAAATACATGACATGAACTATGCTGTGAAAATCAGAAGGCACTGTTCAATAACTTGATTTGTCTGTCTCTACAAAGTGAGCAACAACTCAAGAGAACTATTTTTCAAAGAAAAAGTTGTTTTGACTTGTTCTAATTGGAATATCTTACATAAGGAAAGTACATTTCCGTTCTTAGCTTATTTACTTTCTTGGTTAGCCTTTTAAAGCTCTTAAAAACCAACTCTATTAGAATAAGCCTATAATCTTTTTTAATCTTGTCTGTCCTCTAGAATTTCACTTGTTTTTTTCTTTTATTCCAGATAACAAAATAATGAACAATCAAGACGCCATAGAAAAGGCTGTTAGTAGAGGCCAATGTTTATATAAAATATCAAGTTATACCAGCTATCCCATGCATGATTTCTACAGGTATATTTCTAAATTTATTTAAGTACCTGAAAAAGGGGGAGATGATTTTCTTTCTATACTGGCAAAACCTAGCATTTTTTCCCCCCCTTAAATGTATGAGCAAAGGCAGAGTAAATTGGATATTTGCTAGTCAAGACTGTAACTAAAAACTTTTTAATTATTCACATTGAGTTCTGTGATCTACTTGAAGATCCGGTTTGAGACCATAAATATGGTAAGTAGTTACTGCAGTGCATAACTAGATTTCATTGGAAATGTGTAACACTACATTTGAGACAATATAAAGCTGTCACTAAGCATTCCATATATCCCAGTCACTCTGAGTGGGTTTTGAGTCCCCTCTTCCCAAAATTGGTTCCATGGACTTTACAGGAAAATTTCAAATGCCTTTCTCCAATTTACATATTGTTTTCCTCAGAAGATGCAAGGCAACAGGAAATTGACTTACTCTTACTTCAGTCCCTTTTCATAATCTGGGTTGGAGCCACCAAAATTTTGTTTTTGGTCCTTTTATATAAACAAAACACCATTATTTTGATTATGTTCAAGAAAAATAATGTAAGCTTTTGCTTTTTAGATGTCACACTTGTAACACCACAGATCGAAATGCCATATGTGTGAACTGCATTAAGAAGTGCCATCAGGGACATGATGTAGAATTTATTAGACATGATAGGTATGTAACATACTTGCTTGCTCTATTACCCAATTATCCCCTTCCCCTTCCTAATTTTTGGGTTTTCATTTTGCTTTAGGTTTTTCTGTGACTGTGGTGCTGGAACACTGTCTAATCCTTGTACATTAGCTGGTGAGCCTACACACGATACAGATACACTATATGACTCTGCTCCACCTATAGAATCTAATACATTGCAGCACAACTGAATTCCTTCCCAAAAGAAAAAGTCCTGCCATTCTAACATCATAACTTAAAAACATTTTTTTTGGAAGAAGATTTAAAATACTTGCCCATGCTACAGGAAGAGACTGTATTAAAAATGGATACACGAGGTCAGTTGACACTATGAAACTCAAGCTACCAAAAAGAAAGTGGCAATATATTGACTCAGGATCTCAGAGCTGGGTGTTTTAGCATTACTGTGTAAAGACTTTTGAAGGGACAGAAGTGAAGAAAATAAGCTGCAATTTTTGTACAGATACCAACTTCTGAAAAAAAGCTGGTGTTTTTACAACTAGCATTGAATGCAGTCTAATTTGCAGTAGTACTCTTCAATAGACAAGCAGCTTTGTTGCTGCCTTTATGGACATGGGTACCAATTGCTTTTGTAATATGGTAAAAAATGTGAGCTAGCACTTCTGCGTTTCTTTTGATTTTTTTTAACATGTATTCAGATTGAGAAATATGATTTTAATGCTTTAATCTCATGTAGTTTGTTTTTAATTTCAAGCAAAATCTTATTGTACTTGAATGTGCCCTGTTTTGTTAGCACACCTAGACTTGCTGTAAACTGTACTCATGTCCCAGTATCTACGTTCTTTCTATGAAAGAGAAAACACTAATCTTAAATTATATCCAGCAATGTTTCTGGTATCCTTTAAGAAAAGTTAAGACTATTATTTCCTTTCCTTTCCTTCCCTTCCCTGTGCAGCATTCAAAATCACCCCTAGAAAAAGTGAGTGTTTTAATGAGACTTCCTAGGAAGGGATGCACTGTAAAACAAAAGTATTCTTGTAACTCAGTTTTGTGAAAGGTAAAAACTACTATGTTTTAAAGTACACTTTAGAAAGTCTCTTCAAAACAGTCCTGTATTTGAACTCTGTTCATAGTTTTTTTTGAACAGTTTAGATAAACTGCTGGAAATTAAAACAATTTCCTGCATTTAAGCTGAGACAAGTATATATACAGCCCTATACAGTTTCATAGCTCCCCCCCATTTATGTGTATTGGTGACAGTGGGTATAAACAGCCTGAAAGTGTATGCATGTACCATAACATCTAGACTTAATATATTGTGGAGTATTCAATAACCATTATGTAGAAGGTAGATAAGAATTAAAAGGGTTTAATTTCCTAGAAAGAAAATGGAAAAATGGTCATTTTTAAAAAATAAAGTTTATTAGATCATAATGTTGTCTGAATTTACCAACTTCGTCAAAAAAGTCAACTCAAAGCTTCCAATGTAGTCTATAATTCCTCAATCAAAGTCAGCAACTTATGGACAGCTTCAGCATCTAAAGTCGACTTTTCACAAGCCAGGCAAACTTCCCTTAAAATTTAAAAAGAAAAGTTTTAGTTCACATTTTTCACAGTGCACCATCCATCCCCCCTTCAGTTTTAATAAGATCAGCTGCATGGAAAATTATATCCAAATATAATTACCGAAATAATCGCAGTGAATGAGTCATCTTCTCAAATTCTCTTGCTTTTCTATGTCCCTTTTGAATAACCTCCTCTGGAAGATTAGCAAGCTTCGCTGCATTAAAGCCATAGCTTTTAGGACAAGCTCCTTTGATGAACTTGTAGAGGAAGGTAATAGTCTCCTGGCTGGGATCTTCACATTCATTTTCTACCATGCATGCCTAAAAAAAAGAGATATTTTATTAGTTATATTCACGTACTACCAATGGACGTACCCGATTTGATTCTCTCAAAAACCTAAACAATTTTTGAAGAAGCAATTTGTACATACCATGTGACCTAGGCGCACTGCCACACTTTGAGAATAATCTTCAACTAATGAATGGTAATGGGTAGAAAACAATGTACGACACTTTATATTCTCAGCAAGTTCTTTCACAACTGCATTTGCTATTGCAGTCCCATCAAATGTTGCAGTACCTCTTCCTGTGAAAGTAATGCATAAATTATATTTGTACCAAAGAGGATGTACCTCACAAAGGAATGCAAAAAAAAAGGGATACAACAGTTAACATCAGTACATCCGAAGTACTCTGTAAATAGGCACTGTTTAGCTAAATAGGTCTGCTTAGCAGCCCTTGGGATGAGGATACTTTCTTTTAAAGAATACTGATCTTCAGAAATTTACTAGTTCTCCTTAAATATTCTCATTAACCAATAAATAAATCTCATTATCCCCACAGTATAGCAACTAAACTTGAATAGGATTAAGAAGACATTTCACATCATTTCACCAACTATGGGTCTATGGCACAAAAGTGAGTGCCTTCATATTCTTTAAATAATTCTCTGTACTGATGTTTTAAAGATAGCCTTCAAATGGAAGTTTTAGTATCTTACCTAATTCATCCACAAGCACCAGAGAATGTTCTGTTGCATGTGTAAGTATACTGGCAGTTTCGCTCAATTCAACAAAAAATGTGCTTTCACCTTTAGGAAAAAAAATCACAAATAAGTGATCATTTTAAGAATCCTATTATAAACAGTAAATTAATCTTTTAGGTCCATATTATTTGAATTTATCATGGGCTACCAGCGGTACCTAAACGTTAAATCTCATTACTTCTAGTATTTTAAGAATTGCATGTTTACAAATGCCTGAAAGCATTCCGCTTCACATAACACCAAAAAAAGTCAAACAGCAAATAAAGCCATTAGGTGGGGGAAAAAACCTCACCTGACATTATTCTGTCTGAGGCACCAAGTCTCGTAAACACTCTATCAATTGGTGTGAGCCTACACACTTCAGCAGGTACATAACAACCCATCTGGGCCATTACAGCTAATAGGCCAGCCTGTGAATGAGGGAGGAAAAGGTCTTTTATGATTGGTATTAAAGAACAGATATACATATAGATAGATGTAGATATACAGAACTATATCTCTATATATCCCAGAGACAATAAGACAAGCTAAATAAACATTAATCTTAAGAACCATTATGCAGAAGTCAGACACTTAAAAATCCTCATAATCCTAAACAGAATAGTGAGCTTAGAAGGCAAGAAAACCTCAGAGCCTGTATAAACCCAGTGCACTAGAGATTCTCAACCCCTGGCTACACAATAGAAATCACTGGGGTGCTCTTTAAAACTGATGTTAAGAACCAATTCCAGACCAAATGAATCAATTTCAAAGGATGGAATCCCCATGTACATTTTTGTTGAGCTCTCTAGGTGATTTTGATTAAAAAATGAGAAGTGCTTGCTTCGGCAGTACAGATAGTAAAACTGGAATGATATACAAGAGATTAGCATGACCCCTGCGCAAGGATGACATCAAATTCATAAAGCATTTTTTTTTAAAGGGGGTTGAACAATTTGGTGAACAAATCGAAACAGTACAGGAGAGCAGGAGAATCAGCTTACATTTTCTGTCAATGTTTTTGTCACAGTCTTTTTTTTACAACCCTTTAAAAATGTAAAAATCATGTTTAGCTTATGGCTGGCCAATCTCTGGTATAAAGAGAAGACATATTGTTTTCCCTAACAAGCAGTTCCCAACAGTTGCCAGAGGTCATGATTTTTGGGTTTTTTTGTATCTGAATAACTCTGCCATGACTCTTTTATAAGACGAGTTCCTACAAATGCGTGTAATCAAAAGACAAGCCTGTAATATTTGCCTAATTTTTGTTCATTATGAATATACATCTACCTTCAAGGAAATTAATTGAATCAAACCAAAAGGCTTATCAAGGAATCATGACCTGAAACTTCCCTTGCCTTTTAAATGTGTACTTTCCTTAACATCAGGCAGATACTTGATGGATGAGAAAAATACAATTCTAACACGAGTTTCCCTTTGCTTCCTTGTAAGTCAGTGACTGAATTCTATGAAATGCATGTGCTATTAGGGAAAAGGATGGCCTGAATATGTAATATATTCATTCTTAATGGTCATTTTACCTGTCTCATGAGCGTAGACTTGCCCCCCATATTCGGTCCAGTAACAAGTACACAATAAGCTTTGCCATTTTCCTCCTCTTCTTCCTCACACCCTATTAGAATGTCATTAGGAATAAAATCATCTCCAAAAAAAGTCTTCGTAATACAGGGATGGCGTGATCCTTGAAGGTCTAAGAAGACGCGAGTGTCTTCTTTTGGCAACAGAATTACTGGACGACACATAGGACCATCACCCCCTCGACTGTAGTTAGCCAGGCACAATAAGACATCTGTTAAAGAGGGTAAAGGTGAGGCTTCATCATTTTTGAGGTTTCTTGATAATCACAAAGACCCAACTTCTATAAAATGGGTTCTAAAACTACTTCTTCAGGAGGTGGTGTGTCCTACTTTCTTTTTAGACATACCAGCTTTTTTTCTAACAGCAGGCATTCTAGTGACAACATTAACTGTACAATACAGTGCCTAAGTGTTATATGTGGCTTAAAATCCTGGGAGAGGCAGAATATTCTAACAATAGGCACACTAATATAAAACAATCTTAAAAGGAAACTGAGTTCACCAATTTTGAACACCTGTACTGAGGGGGGATTTTAAATTACCCACCAAATTATTTGAAGCTGTACTGGCTTACGGAAAAAATGTGGCACACTCAAAAATATTCTATTCTGGACAAGTGTGTTCAGATCACAATTGTTTTGTTACAAGTTTGGGTAAACTGGTAGCTAGCTATATTTGTAAAATAAAAAAAAACTAAACTAAAATAGCAAAGGCTCCAAATAAGTTAGCCATGAAATTTAAAATTATTTATGAGGCACAAAAGGTTTCAAAATTTCGGCTAAGAGGAAAAAAAGAAGATTAAAATCTTTTGAGACATGCATGTAAAGACTAAAATAAAGAATGCAAAGGTTTTTTTAAAAAAATTTAAGTGATGCCGGTTAGATTCCCAGCCCGAGCTGAGCTGCCAACAGGTGGCAAGATGGCTCAGCTAAAAAAAGAAAAAAGGAAAAAAAGGCCAGTGGGCTACTAACACTGGCTACTAATTAATAATTAAAAATATCTAGTGAATAACTTAAATGCCTGCACAACCTAGTCATTTCATAATGAGGAAGCAAGTATATACTTGTCAAAACCCATATGTACTTCGTTAATTGTGTTTAGGAATATATATCAGTGGGGACTCTGCAATGGTTTTAAATCTCAGTGCACAACTGGGACACAGGCAGAGCATTACTAACCAAAGCATTAGGAACAAGCTTGTTAGAAGTCTTACCTAACACTGTGATGCACTCCACAGCAGCCTGCCAGTCCTTGTAATTTTTATCAAAGTTATAGAATAGTCGCCGCATACAGTCCTTCAATGATACATCTCTGCGTTCTTCAGCATTTATCAGATTAGCCAATTTCTTCTCAATAGTTTTGGTCCAGTATCGTTTACAGCCTTTTTTGGTGGATTTCAACTCATACTCTTCTGGCAAATTATGAGTGATGAAATTCTCTGGAATTTCCAACTGGTAACGGTTCCTACCAATCCCCCAGTAGACTATGCTCCTACAACCAATTCGACTGCGCTGTTTCTCCAAGTATTCCAGGAGGCTCTGTTCATTTTCTCTTATGTCGGCAAGAGCTTGGTCATAATCAGAGTCAAATCCTGCTTTGGGAGTAATCAGTCCTGTTTTTCGAGCCTTTTCATGGTCAAAGGCTGTATCCCATCGGTTCAATTCCATAGTCAAATCAGGAAAACGGCCTTCAGGATTTTTTGTCTTTAGAGTAATGATCTGCTTAAGGATTTTGGACTTGAAGTCATCGACAACTTCTTCCATAACCTCTATAATTTTACATATTACTTTGAATCCTTCCAGAGCAGAAAGAAAATCAATAATCTTTTTTTTGCTGTATGTAGTTTCTTCATACATTATAGCCCTGCTATCTGGGTGGTTCTGGCTCTTCAAGGGAGACCCAACGTTATGAATTTTACTCAGGAGCCTCTCAAGGTCTGGAAGCTTCTTTAGAAGGTCTAAAACCTCAGAGATTTTGTCAGGCACAACCATTAGGTCTTCTATAGCATCTAGACGATCATTGATAGCATAAGGGTTACACAGTGGGGCACAAAGCCATTGCTTTAGGAGCCGCTTACCAAAAGGAGTATGGCAAGTATCAATCTTCTCTAGTAGGGTACCTTCAGTAGAACCATTTGTTCCATTCATAAAAATTTCCAAGTTGTTTAATGTCACAGAATCTAGCACCATTCGTTGATTTGTTTTAGCAAAGACAGCACCAGGTCTTGCAGCACTGACCATGTCAGAA